TCTGGATCATGCGGTTCAGCTCGTTGATCTCCTCCTTGGTGCGGCGCAGGGTCTCGCCGTGCCTGATCACCGTGGCCTTCATCTCCTCGCACTGCGGGGGAAGCACAGACGCTCTTCAGGACACCAGGAATGACTGTGCGGCTTGTTCAGTGCTCAGCCTACAGGCCTGGCAGCCCTGCCCACACCACCTCAGTGGGAGCTGTCTACCTTACCTTTCTTCATCCCTTAGGGAAAGACTCTCCAAATGGTCTTAGGCTTCAGGTTTTCCACTTAAGAGAGGACTTTTCTAATTCATTCCTTGCTCGCTCCCACTACTACGTCTAGGAGACAAGTGTCCTGTGGCACTCACCTTGCTGCGGTACCAGGACTCAGCCTCAGCCCGGCTGCGGCTGGCGATGTCATCATACTGAGCCTTGATCTCAGCGATGACACAGTCCATGTTCAGGTCCCGACTGTTGTCCATCTTCACCACAACCGAGGTGTCTGAGATGTGGGAGTTGAGGACGCGGATCTCCTGTAGAGGTGCAGGTAGGGATGAGGAAGGATAGCCCCTTGATCGGGATTTTTCCTCATCCACAGCTGCTCTTACTTGACTAATGGCTATGATCCTTTTACTTCTCTGGAGTCAGCTTTTCATAGTTGGAACAGAAAAGCCTCTGATGAAATTGGATGACTTTTTGCACAAATGAAAAATCCCTCTTCGAGGAAAACGTAACCACTTCCTAGATTGCTTCTGGCATTATTTAGGGTGGTTCCCTTCACCCAGCAGGTTCTGGGATGCTCCTGAGGGACATATACTCCTGAGACTAACCACATCCAGGAAGAGAGAAGGTCCTGGACCAGAGCAAACACACTTGTGGCTTACATGATGTTTGGCATGCCCAATGTCTCTGTGGTCCCATCAGCTGAGGGAAAGGACTCAGACCGATTTCACAACACAACACAACATCCTGGAAAGCTTACCATTTTGCTTCCAATTTTGACCTTATTGGTTCTCCATCTCCCCCCCACCTCTACCCTTCCTTCTTTTGGCCTTGCCAACCCTCTAGCCTGAATTCACATGCTAGCAGTGCTCCTTCATGCCTGTGAGCATCTGGGTAGTGCCTGGAATCCCTTTTGAGCCATCTCTGTGCGCATTATGGAGGAGAATCCCTCACCTCTTCATAGAGTCGCCGAAGGAAGTCGATCTCCTGGATCAGGGCCTCAGAATTGGCTTCCAGATCTGACTTGCGGAGATAGGCACAGTCCACTTCCTGTTTGAGACAGCAAGGGACCATGAAGCTGGCTATTTTTAGAGTGCTCTGAGGACACGGCCTCAGGATGGCAGAGTGGAGAGGACAGGAAGCTCAGGGACGCAGGGTGGCGGCTGGACTTCCAGACACTCACCTTCTTTAGAGTCACAAACTCGTTCTCAGCTGTGGCCCGTAGTGCAACTTCTTCCTCATACCTGAGGTAGATGGGGGAGAACAGAACCTTGTCTGAACAGCTCTCCCCCTGGGTTACTCTTAGACTTACCCTTGCTCCACTCCCAGGCCCCCAGAAGAAATGGGACAAGATCAAGTAGAAATTAGGCTGCGCATTACCACTAACTTTTGAAAGCACCTCTGGGCCTTCAAGTGTGGGACGGAGTTGGGGTGGGATCAGAGTCTTGACATTGTATGTGCTCAGCAAATGCTGACTGAGTGAAGGAGTAAATGGAAGACTAGCCAGGACTCTGAGAGCTGACCTCAAAGGATCAAACAAGAACAAAAACCCCCAAAACCATTGCCAGTAAGTCAATTCTTACTCATAGTCCTAGAGGACAGAGTAGCATTACCCTATAGGGCTGTCAGGTCTATTTTATGGTTTTATAATTTTGTTTTTAGATTTTATTTTAATAATTTTAGTGAACATTTACAGAGATTTTGGATTTCCATTCATTCATTGTTGCACTTTTCTCCCTGCCCAGCCCTCCCCACTACCGCCCCCCCAGTTCACTTCTCTCTTTGAAAAGTAAAAGAAAAAAATCTTACTTTGATATACAATCCCCCTGCACCTCTCCCACCGCCCCAAGTACACTCCACTATGCAACCATAATTGTGGACTCTTGTGATAACCATAATACCCTGTCATACAATATACATATATAATTTTTATGGCAGCAGACTGCTCTTTCTCCCACCAAACAGCCGCTGGTTTCTAACTGCCCACTTTTTGGTTGGCAGCTAAGCACTAAACTAACTGTGCCACCGGGGCTCCTTTCAAAGGGACCAATGAATAATGATCCAGGTCTAAAAAGAGAGTTCTGGTGGATGAAGGAAGAAAAAGTGTCATTTTTTCCTGATGTGCTGATGCGGAGTGAAAAGAAACACTCTAAAAGGCCAGGCCCCACCACGTCACCTCCATGCCTTGAGGAACTGCAAAGAGTGGAAGTTCTCCCTCTCCTCAGAGGCCTCTGAGGCCTCTGAGCCCTTTCCTGAGCCCACCCTGCTTGTACTCACTTCTTCTTATAGCCCTCCAGCACTTCCTGCACGTGGTTGAGTTCTGAGGACAGCCTCCCGCTGTCGGCCTCCACACACTCCGCCTCCCTCCTCAGTGTCTCGATGTAGCCCTCGAACAGTGGCTCCAGGTTGCTCTCACAGCACCTGCGGTTCTGGTAGAACTGCCACTTGGTCTCCAGCAGCTTGTTCTGTTGCTCCAGGAAGCGCACCTGCCATCCAGAGACAGAACCTGAGAACTGGCTTTGGCAGGATCAGGAACAAGGGGTGTGTGTGTGGGTGCCCCAGGACCAGGATCTATGGCTCTCAACTCTACCTAGAAGCTTTTCTGGAAGGTATATGCCATCTTTCTAAGAGAACCACACTGGGTCTCAGGAAGTTTACCACCTGGAAGTCCCCCCTCAAAGATGACCTGCAAAGCAATTTACACTGTGTCATGGGAGGCACTTGAAACCATCCCCAGATTCTCCAGCTGCTTGTTAATAATGTATCCTTTGGGCAAGTCACTCTAGTCCTCTGCAAACTGGGGAGAAGAAAGCTCCCCTCAATTTGTTCCTTGGGAGGACTGCTTAAGCCTTGCATGGGAGAGCGTCTGTATCCTGAGCAGCTACTATCTGATGTCAGATGCAATTTGCTGCATAATAAGGAGCAAGCTAACGCTTTTTGAAAGGCTGTCTGTAAAAATTGAAGAACAAAGCATGCATCAGTTATTTAACTCCTCCAACAACAATGCAATTAGAGTAATAGTCACCTGGGAATTTAGCGCAAGACTGCCCTGTGTACAAACCTCCTAATTTTACAGATGATCATTAAAAAGAGGACCAGAGAGGTTATGCGACTGCCTGAGACCCTTTAATATGCAGAGGAAGAGCTCAGACTCCGATCTTCTGGTTTGCAGGGGTTCTCTGACTCGCTTGACTGTGGAGTCACAAGGAATAAATACTTCATACCCATTACCCTGCTTTGTGTTTTTCCACTGTCTCCATTCAGGTCTCTGTTTAACAGTTTTGCTCCATCCCTGGCAAGACCTTTCTTATACTGTCCTTGGTCTTTCATACTACTCAGAGTTTCAAGTTATTTTGCTTTATATTTTAGCTTCAAAAGATTTCTTTTGATTCTTCCTGCTCGATATCTGTCTCACATGATTTTTGTCAGGGTTGCTTCTGACAACTCTTATTCAGCTCCAGAACTACTTCTGAGACCTCCCCAGCCCCTCCTCCCACACCCTCGTGGCAGCTGTCTGTATTTGGTGGACAAGATGCTTGCAGACTTCCACCAAACACAGGCATGGATAGATGACTTCAATTGCATCGTGACCATGTACAGCCTGTGTCCCCAAAGGGTCCATGAAAATGGGGACTGTGTGTTTCTTGCTCACCCTAGACCCTGACTCCCCAACACAATAGCTTGGAAAACTATGGTGAGCCTGATCCATAATCAGCGGTTAGGTACCTATGTAGTCAGAACAGATCTGGTCAATCCACGAGCTTCCATAGTCTTCCAGGACCACCCCATCACTCCTGCCCTTGACAGGGAGTACTTCTTCATATGGAAACAGCTAATTAGCTTGAAATGTATCTCACACACATGAATTCAGGAAGGGTGTGATCAAGGGCACCCACCTTGTCGATGAAGGCAGCGAACTTGCTGTTGAGACACTTGATCTGCTCCTTCTCCTCATGCTTGACACACTGCGCATTGGGGTCGATC